GTACAGTATCTAAAATGAGGAAGAAAATCATATTTGGAACAGCATGAGTGTAAAATTACCACTAAATACTAACTAATACCTTGAATACATAATGCATTTTATCTGATGTACTCAATGAGCGTATATATGCTCATTGCATGTACTACAGTCCAGCAGTGTTTGCATACCATTACTAGACTATATCTACACTAAATTTTGATATATCACAGTCTGAAATGCCCTATGACTGTATGACAGTATGGACTATAGACTATATTTTAAAACATCAACTGTCTGTCTACAACTCCCAGTGCGGCGATTTCTCACCTCTCAATCGTTTCCAATGCTACTTTCTTTCCACTCCGGCATAACTTATCATTTCTTCCCAGGTTGCTATGAATTTAGATTTAGACCAACCGACATTGGTAAAATTGATTATTTTCTTCTCTTTCACACAACCGTGCATTACAGAAACAGCCATTAATTTATATTTCCAAATAGACTATGCTGTGGCCTATATAGTAGTATAAGTCTGCTGAATAGTCAAGAAGAGTCATTAAATTAATCATAAACATTTCATGCAAGCCAGAAAATATCGTTGTTTGTGACATAATATTCTAGGTCTAGCCTTCCTTGGAGTTACCGCACCGTACCTATTTAACAACGTCTTATGAGCTAGTGCTCAACTGAAATTGCTATTTATGGTAAGGATATAAAAGCGTTTAATATCTTACTTATACTTTTCAACACCTCCTTAGAATAACTGAACTAATAATAACTGAAAAAAACTATGGAAAGGCTACTCAACGCAAAAGCGAGCAGTAGTAGTACATCTGATATTCATCCGACCACTGGGGATCCACCTACAGCTGACTAAATTGATTGTTACGTCATGCAGAAGTCTGCGTTCATTGGCCCGTGATACGGAAAAGCAGAGAAAATAGGACAGATGGTAACACATATTTATTGTAGTAAAAGCGTCTTTTCTGTAAAACGTGCAACTTTTGGAAGTGGGAACAAGGCAATATTTGTTACTAAATTTCTAAGGAACATTTTAAAATCATTTTCAGGTAGTTACCTTATGTGCGCTACGAAACTGAAAGATAAATGCCCTCGGCTCGCGGCCTATATGCATCTGAAGCAAATACCTGGCTAACTAAACTGTAAATGACTTAACCCGTAAATATATACTACTACCTTAACCCATACTCGACAGATAACCGGACGAGAGGCCGTGGTTCGCCCTATGATTTTGCATTTTATCGACTTACTCTCTTCTGGGTTAAATATGTAAATCCTATCCTATTTAATATTGAAAACTTTATGGGTAAGGATGATTTCTTAAAATAATGACGTCATAAATACATTTTATTGAGGTCACAACTCACGAGACTCACAGGCTTTTACCTGAAACAGTTGTTTTTGTCATTGGTCATTGGTCGTCCGTTCCGCCATCAGCTTGGATTATTCGATTTCCTTTGTTGTGCCAGTATGGCGGTATGTGGGAGGCTCTTGTTGCAATGATTTAGTTTATTTCCGTTATATGTGAGTATGAAAAACGGATAGAAAACATTCCACAAATTCAAGAATTCCTCCATAAAATAGGCTATAGCTTAGCCCTAAGCTGTGACGGATCCCGGACGTGGGGCGAGGCGTTGTCTGTTTGTGGGACTCATTTAATTAAGTTGAGCTGAAAGGTTGGATCAACGAGGGCAGAAGCCGACACTAATATCGGTTTGATCTCTGGTTTGTGAAAAGTGGTTTATCTGAATAATTCAATGCCACTACTGCACTGGTGGGTACGGTACCGGTACCGTATGGGACATTTTATTTATACTGTTATACGGTAACTTATAGTATATAAACATAGTGGAAAGTTCGGATGCCCAAAATGAGTTTTTCGTTTTTAACCTTTGTTTGAGTATTACAGTAGTTCAGATTAGAGCTAACATCTGAAGCCCGAACCGACCCAAAATTCGGACCGGGTCGGGCCTGAAATGTCAATCATTCCTGAAAATCCTGTTAATTAGTTGGGTTCGGGCTGAGTCGGGTTTAATACCCACAGGCTTGAGTCAGGCCAGGCTGAAATTTTGGGGCCCGATCTTACCTGTAGTTCAGATGTAACCGGCGAATGTTCAGGTCACTGATCTGCTAATTCTTTTTTAGATGTGTGAAATTATATAATATTTTTTGTATATATGTATATTATTTGTACTACTGTTTTGTGCTAGAAGCTACTCATGTACATGCTATATATACGTACAGTTTTCATAAGCCTGTGAGCCTTAAATTTTCAATTGTATTTGTGTTTTTGGAAATACATGGATCTTTTTCTATGTAAATATAACAAATTTTTATATAATTTTATGTTTCTCCATTGAAAATATTGCACCAATGACAACCACAGCCACAAAATTTTTGTACTTTGTAAAAAAAGTTGCCCTACTCTTTTCTTGATCAGTGTTTTCACATCTTAACCCTTTCCGTGCGGTGGGCACGTATACGTACCAACGACAAAACTCGCTAAGTTTGGCGGGTACGTTTGATGGTACTCCACTGTTTTTATTTAGCAATCGGTCCGCAACTGTTGGTTCTAGTTTTTCCGGGTTTTTAGTTTATTGATAAGAAGCCTTCTTCCGAGATTAACATAAAGCGACGTAAATCTCGCTTTCGTTTACCAATGGGAGTTTTATTTGCGGGCGAACGAGGGAGTGTTTTTTGATTTATGCAAATTTCGGTGTTTTTTGGGTGGTAATCGAAGACATTATCCCTTCCACTACCAAAGTATTTTGAGTTAGATAACGAAATTGCTACAGTAATATTATGCTATTTGTTTGCCAACCAAGAAGCGGTACAGTAAAGGATTTTAGCGAAATATTTCTATTTTTTTATCACGGCTTGAAGTTTTCAACACCCAAGAAAAAAAATGTCTTTTTCTATCCTGTTTGTGACTCAGACCACCCCTTTTGAAAAAAAAAAAAATTTTCAATCGCCAATTGCAAGCTCTTTTAAATAAGCTTTCCAACGAGCCGTCAGTGGGCAGCGAGGATCATTACTTTTTCGTTAGTCGATCGATTAGTTGTGGGGGTACAAATGCATAAAGTCGGCGTAGCAAATACGATTATTTAATAAAAAATAAAAATCGCATGGAAAGGGTTAAATTGATTTCAAGGTTATTGCCCGATTTTGTATCGTGTGGGTTTATTTTTTTGTGTGCTTCAACTGTTTTGGTGAACGAGCGCGTACTCCTAGGCTTCGTTTTTCTCGTCTTCATTTTGTTTGTCCATTTACAGTTTTCACTCTGTTCTCTGGATTTTGCGCTGTATTCAGTAACAAGTAAGACTGAGCACATCCTAAAATGGTACCTTTACTGGTTTGGGATGTGTAACTATTTATCACTTTTTTTCTTGTGAGTATAATTAATAGAGTCAAATTTGAAGGATTCATTTACTGAATCTACAGAATATTTGTACAAACACAAGTAAATTCACCTGCGAGGAAGGAACTGATAGAATTTAGGCTTTCTTAAGTCCTTTGTTCGACATTCAAGACTTGATATTCAGAAATATTTGTGCAGAAGTTCAGTTTGAAGTTTGTACGCCTAGGTTATCAGATTTTTATACAGTAATAATATGATTGAATCTATTTTAAAATTGGCTCTTGCAGCCGCTAGGATCCATGAGTTTGTCACATAACATACAATAATAATAAAGTAGCCTTCGTTGAGTTTAAGGCATTGTTGGAACATTGTTTGCCACTATCTAGATTCTACAACCACGGCACGGTCTTATTATGCATCTGCTGTCATGCCAGATGCCCCTGTTTCTGCACAGAATAGAGTGTTAGTTTTATTGAACGAGACATCGGGACATCTTGGAATAAGAGAACTGTGCCCTTCTAATGAATACATTGGCTTGTTTGGTTCCATAATGTTTGTTATTTCAATGTTGTTAGGCTAAACAATGTTGGTCATTACAGCAATATTAGTAACACAGGTTACTGGGTTAACCATATAAGTCTATCATACAGTACATAGAGAAAAGGCGGCAGTAGCTTTCGACAATGCATGACAGTTATTTATGCCTGCTTGAAAGCCTGCTGTTCTTATAATTTGTAGTGTCTAGAGTAGAATCTCTCTAGAGAGTGGATAAACTATTATATTTAATAAGGGGTTGCAGTTAATGTTGATATTAATAATATTTATTGTATTGTTCAGTGAAGATGAATTGTTCAGATCGATGGGATAATATATTAATGTCCGTTTCTCACAATACTTCTTCTCATTGGAATGTGTTTAGAACCTCATGCCCTATTTCTCGTATAGCTAACTTTGAATCAAAGCAGTGATATATGCAGGGATTAGTTTGTAGAGTGAATTTCATACTTGCTAAAATATATTGTATTTTAGAAATATTTTGGAATACCCATATTTCACAATAGCTTTCTTGATGTGCATGGACTCACAAATTCATTCATCTTAAAAAACGATGTTTAAATTATAACATGTGGCACAATCGGTCAGCGCGTTCAGCTCTTACTTCTTGAACTGATGGTTACCGAAAAGTTGAAATTTCCTTCTTGTATAGCTTTTTGTGTTCCACTTCTACTGGCACATCTGTCACAACAATAAATCTCTACCAATTAGCACTATCACACTAAATGGGCTCAAGCTTGTATAAATATGTAAAATAATTATATTCATAATGACAGACTGGTGTTCATATAGTCCAGTCGTATTTCAAATTTATTTTATAGTCAGTTCCCGATAGATTTTGCCAGGTTTGTTTTATTTTAATCAGTTTTTATTTAAGTTTTTCTTATTTAATTTATTACGCCGGCGAGGCAAGCAAACTACCATAGATATAGTATCAATTCCCGTTGCAATCTGAAAAATGTAATACTTTATGATTATGAACACCCTGTATATTCAAGATTCTAACATATTTTTATAGAGGTTTTGAACAACTTAATCAGTTTGCTGTTACCTAATATCTGATCATACACACTTTGTTAATCAGATTTCAATATATTTCCAGTGTATTGTGATTCAGGTTCTTCAAGAATATTATAAGTATATAATAAGTATCTTTAATCTGAATCAGCTGCAACCAAATCTATTAATTTGTGTTACATAATAACAATAATGGCATCAAGAAAGAAAGTTCTTCTAAAAGTCATTATTCTAGGTGATAGTGGGTAAGTTAATTATTAATAATATGTTTCACATTTACAAATATTGCATACCAGATTATTGACTGCGATGGTATCTGCGCTGTCGAAAACTTTTACTCAGCATTTGTCATTATTGATGGACAATAATCTGTGGTGACATAATGCCGCTGAAATCAATGCTCATGCTGTAGTTGGATGTTTTAAAATAGCGCTTATTCAAGTTCACATACATTAAACATTTAATAAATTTTTTTAATCAGACAATTGTAGGTTCGAGACATCTTGAATTATTCTCAATGATGTATGGGGGACTGGATTTATAATATATAAAATCACAGCATCATATCTGTTTATGTCTTTCATACACTAAGTAACATTCCTTTAGACACTTTCATTCTTCCATGTACACCCTTACGTCATGAATAAAAATTTGAACATACCAGATTAACACCAACAACGCTTTTTTATTTCTGACCAGAGTTGGAAAAACTTCTCTTATGAATCAATATGTGAACAAGAAATTCAGTAACCAATACAAAGCAACAATTGGAGCAGATTTTTTAACCAAGGAAGTCATGGTTGATGACAGACTTGTCACTATGCAGGTTAGTAATATACGTTTATTTTTTCACTTTCTTAGATGGCTATTTTTGTATGCCTTACATTGCTGAATTGTTATATTTGCCATGGATATGCTGCTATCCAATGTCTATACATCCATGCTATATATTTATTACTGCTTTAGTTACTCATGGTAAATATGGAGACCTTACTTCTCCTATTTGTCATTTCCTCTGCCGCTCCATTTATTATTATTTGTGTCATATTGGGCTTGGTTTTAAAAAAAATAGTGACCTTCAAAAAGCTACCACCCACCAACAGTTACAGGTTATTGAGGACTATGGGTGGGAGATGTTGAAACTATTTTCAATAAGGGCATTCAATAAAGTTGAGATCCGAAGGTTGATTGAAATAATTTAGCAGAATCAAATTTTTTAATCTTAGTCGAAACCTCTGTTAACTCTGGAAGATTTAATTACTGATTATAGCTAAGCCTCATGTGACTAATCTCACTCATAGTTTACTCATTACAGAAGATTAATAGGAGAATTTGATAAAATGAATACTCATGTATTACCATAGAAACATTTTTCCAGATCACTGTAAGGCAGAGGCGTACCAAACTTTTCTGCTGCCCAAGGCAAGTTTCTGATAATGATACCCCTTCAAAAATAATTCGGGGGATGGAAAAAATTATAGATGTTGATGTTGTTATACATGACAATGGATAAAATTCAGCTTTTACTTTTGCATAGAAAATAACATGTGTAATAACACAAAAGTCTACAGCCTGGGTCTGCTGCCCCTATGGCTCTCCACTAGGCCTCTACTGCAAGGTCATATGTTAGAATGGTTCTAGAAACTTCAGCTACAAAAAGTAACAACGACTTATCGATCGAAACTGCGGTTTCGATTCATGACTCTATAGTGACACTGCATGTCCCATCACTAATTATTTGATAACTCGCTAATTATACAACATAATTCATCCAAAATCAATAGGCTTCTGGTCCGAGATATGATGAATGCACATGCAAAATTTGGAGCAGATTCAACCAAGCCTTTGTGAGGTATCGCGTGCATCTAACAGACAACAGACAAATACCTATCAACATACTTATCGATCTAAAGATCGATAAGTACTAATGTCACGCAGTTCTATAATCCTGATGGCAAGTTTTTACCTTGTGATATAAACCAGTATCACCCATTTGTCCAATTCCTTAATGAAAAACTTAACAATGAATGAACAACCAAATAATGTGCATCCGAATTCATATTCTTCTGTTTCAGATTTGGGATACTGCTGGTCAAGAAAGATTTCAATCTCTAGGAGTTGCATTTTACAGAGGAGCAGATTGTTGTGTGCTTGTATATGATGTGACTGTTCCAAACAGTTTCAAGACACTTGACAGTTGGAGAGATGAATTTTTAATTCAAGCATCACCAAGAGACCCCGAAAATTTCCCATTTGTTGCCATTGGCAACAAAATCGACTGTGAGAACAGAGCGGTATGTATATGACAGATCTTACCACAGCATAAATATTAGACTATTTTGTATTCTGACTGTTCTGGGATGGTTATTTAGTAAGTCTGATGAGTCGCCCATAAACACAATTTTCATTCAATGCCAAATTTAAGTTAGGTCTGTGTAAAGACTTAAGTGTTTCTTATGCTAAGTTCTACAGAGCTGCTCTCGGGGTCCAAAAAGGTCCTCTGAAAGAGGTTATATTATCATGAAACCTTCCTGTTACCCAGCCTAATAACTAGTACAGCACAGATATACAAACTTACACGTCTAAACAACACATTATGCTGTGTGTACGCTCGTGCAGAAGTAAGTTTCAGTAGACATGTAAATGACTGTTACACCTTATTAAGATTCCAGTACCTTTCATCGAAAACTCATATCGACACAGATGTTGTATGCAAATAGTGCATGCACTTGCTTTGAGGTTGAATTATAAACAGTCCAACCTTGCAGTGTGTGATGAAACCTTTTGTTTAATATTTAAACAATATTGACTTCTTATTAATGATCTATCTACTTATAACATACTATTTTTTTCTAGGTGTCACACAAGCGAGCTCAAGGTTGGTGTCATAGCAAGAATGACATTCCGTACTTTGAATGTTCCGCTAAAGAGAACATTCATGTGGAACAAGCATTTCAGACCGTTGCTAAGCAAGCTTTGCTGCAGGAATCCGATGCAGACTTGTACCAATCAGACTTTCCGGATCGGATAAACTTGGGGGGTAATTCAGATGCAAATAAGAAGTCAGGCGATTGCGCTTGCTGAATTCTTCTGATCACTTTATTAGCTGAGACCAAGTTCCTTTGCCCTCAACCAAGTATTTGTTATTTAATAAACTCAATATCATTCATCCTAGGTGTCAGCTGTTGTGTCAAATCGAGCAGGGCAGTGATATTCTGTTATTTTACTTATCTAATATAAATTTGTGTGATTCAAATATTCTGCTTTACTGTCGGGATATAATTCATTTCTTGCGTTTATCTTTTTGTCTATTAAAATAATATGTGCATTATTTGTAATAACCTGTTTAGTATCCAGTCTTGGCACAAAATAATATATTATGTGTTGACAGCTTGCTGTACAATATTTGTTATTTGATTGCATGGTTTTGCCATTAATTGAACGATAATCTTTATTAAAATTGTAGTTCAAGTCAAAAAAGGCTGCAAAACAAGTTCACATTATTATTTTTGAATAATAATCGTATGCGGAGCTTCTATGTTTTGTAATCATATTATTAAGACAAAATTTTCAGTCTGAAATGTTAATAAACATGATAATCAAAAAATTCAATTTTTCTACAATTTGCATTTCTAACTAATGTATTTTGTGTTAATCTATATTGCAATGAAGTGTTGTTCAAATGAGTCTCCTGAAAGTAGACTCTATCATCTGGAGATAAGACAATATCATAATATTTTAATAGGTTTTTCTGTATAACTGATCAATTCAAAGCATTGGGCAATGAACTAGGTTGCAAAATTGTTATTATTAAAATTTTTGTATAAAAACTTTTGTCCTTATGCCATTGGTAAACTAACATGTTTTAGCATCCTTCCATGCTTTATGAAACGATAAAACAAAACCTAACGATTTATGAAGCTTGCCTGAACTTTGAAAAGTCATTTTGGTTAGAGACCATCCAGTATTATACTTTCAGACAAATTATCCAGCTTGGCATGACTCGTTCCTGAAATCCATTTAAACAAATTTGATGTATGCTGAATGCTGCTTTGATAAACTTTTCTCTTCCAAACGCATGATTTTCATCTGTGTGATAACAGTAGTAAATCATCTATATTTCACAAATATGGTTCATTGATTTAGGTGATAAGAGCTCTCTTATATTGTTAGGAATAAGCATTTTCGAATTGGTCGGTGTTGAATGGATTTGCCCTGTTTTTAAATCTTTTGTTAATTTCTGTGTTTGACAAGTTTGTGGACCACTCACAGCGTCCTCTTATCTGAAGGTTTGATTCTTTAGAATCCAGCTTGTCTGAAAAAATTTTGTATATATATTTTCATCACCAAAATCACTATCGTCATTCATTATCATCTATTGTTTGGAGAAAATTGTTCTGATGGTAGCGATGGGTTAATTTAGTAATCGCCACTACATTTTACTGAAAATATATTATATATGATTCAGATTTGTTTTTTTCAGTGAATTTCAAGTCTAGTTTGTTAATTGATATATGTGTTATGTATATGTTGTGATAAATAACGAAGATTATACTTGTTATCGTACTGAATTATATATGTTCAACATTTTCAGCACGGAGAGAGTCATTCTGCTAATATGATATGGAATGTATACAAAATAAAAGCCTGGTGTTTTTTATGATTCTCAATCAAAAATATATATAAATTTGTATAATCCAATACGTCTATGACACAATAAATATGCAATGGATGCAGTTAGAAGATTACAACATCGGATTGAGGCTTGGCAGGCAGTGGTAGAATATCTAGAAGATTTTTTGCCTACCAATCGCTTGCATAAAAATGATTACTTGATACTGTTTGTTGTTGGCTGGTATTTGAGGTTATGCGATTTCCAGCCTGAAGATGTCGCTGGGCAATCATTGATGAAAGCGAATTATTCAGATTAGGGCTGCTCTCCTCGCCATCGCTTATTTGAATTGACAGTGAGATTCTATAGTCCAGATGAACTCCCGTTTTATGGATGTGACTCTAGTTCCCTACTTTGGATCTACATAAATTAAAAATTTATGCGACCACTTGTTAACTTGAGCTATCGTCATTTCCACGTGTACCGTACTTATTTCCTACAATCAATCAATTTTATTCGGTCACTCTGATACAAACAAAACACAAAGGGACAAACAAAATTCAGAGGACCTGGAGGACGGGCATAACTTAATAAAAAAGTTAAATACGTATAAGTACGTGCCCGTCCCCCAAAAACAGGCAAAACACAATAAAACAAAAACACGATGTGACATCGGGCAATATTTTATAAATTCAAATTAAAATGTGAGACGTGTATGTGCTTTTTCTATACAGATATATGGATTAAAGAACACTCGCTGACAAAAAATGATGATGTTGTGGGCCTACTTCAATTATATTGCAAAAATAACACAGTGACAATTTTTTTTTTACTAAAAACAAGCTTGGTAAATGGATTGGATGTTCCATAGCAGTCTATGCACGAATCATGAATTGGGGTATTGGGTTCTTTTGTCGTTTTCGGTTAGTTCACTTCAAAATCATTGTATCCGTTCCAATGCTTCCAACATTAATATCGAATTTCCACGAACGACCACCATTCAGCCATTCCAACAGGTGCAGTGATCCCATCTCTTTTTTACTCTTTTTTGAGCAGGTCCAGTTTGTAAGATTTTTCGGGGTTAGGTTTTCGGGGTTACTGGCCAATGGTTTACCTTGGAACGCCGAGTTACGATATTCAATACTTTACAGACACAAACAACACAAAAATCATCACATGCAGTCTTGCGCCAATCCAAATATAGTGTACTATGGTATTTTAACTAAACCAAACACAACAGAACGAACAATATCACATTTCAGCTACCAAGGTGGCAGGCACGCCAGATTAGTTGATGTAAATAGTGGCAACTGAAGAAAAAAAAAAATTTCACCAAAATTATGCAGTGAATACATACAAACAATGTGACAAACATTATTCTGTAATTATTGATTAATGACATAATTGGTTTGGAAGCGTAGACACTGTCGAACTTCCTTTCATTGTGGTGTCCGACTAAAACAAACAATATGAACCTAAGCAATTCTGCCGAAAGAAGTGCTGCGTTTTATCTTCAATCTTCAGTTGATTGATCAACCTCTATTTAGTCCACCGGTTTTCAATCAGTGCGTCATGGCTCACTTCTGGGTCACAGAAACATTTTCAGATAGGCCACAAACCTATTAAAAATTGCCAGAGGTAGTGATAAATTAGTTAAACTTTGATTGTTGTGGCAATGACTGCCGATGCTGCTTTCAGGCTCTGGGTTGTAATTCTCATTTGAATTATTAAAGTGAAAGTGTCTATTTTTGCGTGAACTGGTTATTTTATTTACTGTTAAATGTTTTGCTCGTATATATAGGAAAAGTGTAATAAAAATTAAGGACAAGTTGACAAGTCCTTTCTAACTTCAATGAAAGAAAAGACAGAAGGGCTCAATTAAAGGACTGTCCTTGGTAACTCTAATACCAGGGAAACGGAATGTCAACGAAACCCATGTTGGGTACGAGATTGGTTAGCCAGTTGTTTTGTTTCCATATGCATGGACGTACAGCTCAACCTACTCCGAGTTCTGTTGTACGCTAGTGCTCTCAATGAAAACAGCTTTTGTCAAGAGCAAATATCGATGTTCAGTAAATTGTTTCAAGTAACTACCAAGTTTATGAGCATGCTTCAATTTCATAGTTTATGTATGGAACTAATTTAAACCTTATTTGTGTACCGCGACGCAAAGAAGTTTGACAACCTGGGCAAGAGGCACTTGAAACTATTTAATTAGGAACAAATCTCCATATAAATTAAATGGAGTCGCACAACCACCCTTAATTAATAGTCCCTATTGATCACGCGCCCCTATTACATTGTCTCAACAGTAACCGCGTCACCACAGATTTAATGACTATAATCTATGGTTAGAAAATGTCTGAACTCGTGACTCAAAAAATATTTTAGAATTGGGTTAACGCTGAATAATATAGGATATCCTGATCATCCCAATTATTCGCGAGGTATCATGGCCACTTTCGTACAACGAAAACGAAAAGTTCGTCCACATGATCATGACAAATAATTTACAGTTTCCAAAATGCTTGCTGAGTTGTATTTCTTAAAACGATAATCAAAAAGTGAATTGTTCTGTAATTCACAGCACGCGCCCTAAAATACATGAAAATAAATATTATCCGACATTTATGGTCGCCATTATCGGCTGCGTTTTATCAGCTGCTTTCTACTCAAACTCAAAACGTTGCAAGCCTAATTAACGCTTTTGTGAACCAACACAATTTTACTCATTGAATGAATTGTTTTTAATCTTTATACACTCTAAAAATATGCAAGATGATTATACATATATAATGTTGAATATATGATTGAAAGACGACACGGAAAAGTGCTTCGCCTCTGATGTCATCAGACGAAACACCATCATCACCTCTATGATAAAACAGTTGTTGCGTAAATATTTTAAAATGGAAAATCAGAAAGTTGGTTTATAAAAATCATACAATGAAACACTATTGAATACATATATGAGCCATTGCAAAAATGTTGATAACTAGAAATTATGGACAAACGGGAAAATCGTATCTAAATTAGAAAGAGCCAAAATTTAATTTAATTGATATTTCCTGAATATAAAAGTCTGAATGAACCATGAGAGGGGAACTAGATCAATGATAAAATAATTAACAGCCGATTTTTCTTCAGTTTTTAAAAAGAGTCGAGAAAGAAGAAAATGGTATCGCTTAGAACTGAATGAGAAGACATGAATGCAGGAACATTTTATCACAATAAATAGTTGGGAGAAATTCTTTAAAATAAAAAAGAAGTCTATTGGTCAAATATCATATTTCATCACACAAGTTCAACTGGAAGACTTTCAAAACTTTATCTTTAAACAAAACAAATCTTTATAAATTGAGATTAGTTCAATATGCAATATAGCCCATTCGCACTATCTTTTGAGATTTATTCTCAGTGTTTGACTCATGTTCAACTCATGCTAAGACTTTGTTTCAAGATTACCGAGGAAGTTGATCTCCCCTTGATCAAACGGAGGCAATGATCGCTGACCAGCGTTAAATAGTTTGATTTCAATCGATTCATCCTGTATTTCTGCAGGTTAAACAACTAAATACAGATCTAAAGCAATCAACAATTGAGGATTTTTTGTCAAAGTGCGTTGAGGGATAGTAGAAATCATAGGCAGTCATGCTGTTGATCACAGGTGCGACAGGATCAGACAACGGAGGTTGCTCACGTAGTGTAGAATTACGCAAAGTCTCTTCTGTCTTCCTCTTTCTCTGAATATTTTCACGCTTCCGTGAATTTGTTTCTATAGGATTTGGCCCGTATAGTGGCATAATTTGCGGCTCTTCAGATTTGGAATGCACTTTGTGGATTTTTCGATGTGTTGAAATATCTTTGTCTTTAGTTGGAGATACACTGTACGGCCTAATTCCATTATCATAATGTGCATCGCCGTTTTGGGCTGAGCGCTTCTTTCTTTTTTGATTCCCGAGATTGTGTGGAATGCCATTTCTTACAACAACTCGTTGTCGAGGATTGATAGTGTAGATTCGTGGCACATCCTCCATTGAGTGTTCTGATGAAAATTCCCCCGTATTCTTATTAATATTTTGATTAGGATTGCCAATCATCTCCAAATATTAAACTTATTTTTTATATATCTAAAGCGCAGAATAACAACATTTGAGAAAGCAAAAGTTCTGGATGAAAACAGAGTAATATTATACGAACCAGGGGGATTAACTCGGCGGATTTTTCGTGATAATCCAAGTTTCTTCAAGTTTACGAAAGCATTTTAAACATAAAATTAGTCTATTTCATTGAGTAAGTGACAGGATTTATTTTACCAAGCCGAACATCGATTTCGAATCAGGTCACACAAAGTATAATAACATGATCATAAGAACGACAAGCTTATCTATAAATTCTGATCTAATCAGTATGGTAAAAAGGTATTTTTCAGTGAGAGAGGAGATTTCGAAAATCTGTATGATTCTTAAAGGAAGAGATATGCCCACCTCAAAGGCGTTGTGTGAACTGTCATTATTTCAACCCTTCGGCTAATAAACCCTGACTGACTCATTTAGCCATAACCAGTTAGTGTTATTCAAGAAGTTCAATAAGCTACACTGCAGAGTTATTTTCACTGTCCCTGATTGCGAACTTCACCTAACTAAACATTCCCTAAACAAGGTGCGTATGTACACAGTGAAAAACTTTTTCATTAGCTATATAGAATAACAAACTAAAATGTAATGCGATTCCAACCAAAAAGTCCTATGGCCCGCTCCAACAAAAGATACCAATTTGATAGGTATAATACGTATCGCGTTACTTGAATCTGTTGTCTCATACTCGATGTGTTCGGGGTTTGTTCTATTAGAAGTTGTAAAAAGTCTGTATTGAAAAACAGGTGCGACCGACTTGTAACTTCCTCGAACTCAGCGCACAGGTAATCAACAGCAAACGAATCACGCGTTCTATGAAATTGTTTTGGAGAAAAACAAAACATGTAAAAATAGAACGCTGTCATATTTCATATTCATACGTCCCGTCATAATCACACCTTTGTTGATTTCTCAGAAAACACAATGGGCTCTTATTGATGTATATAAGTTCT